TGTATCACCATAAACAATATGGATACAATATCCAAATGATGTATTTTTTTTTAAAGTGTTTTTATTCACTTTTTCTTATCCCTCTTTGATGAACTTGGAGTTGGACCTTGAGAAAATTCATTAAGCCCTTGCCTAAAGGCTCCAAGAGTCACCCCATTATTCACCAAAATACTTGTCACCCCCATTTTTGAAACCTGCATGATGGATTATAAATATATATAAAATGTAAGTTTTGTTTGTAAGAAAAAGGCAATGTAGCTAAAAGTGCAATTATTAATGCACAATGTACAAGTATGTCAATGCATAAAATGCAACTTTAATCACTCAATTTTGTATAATCCGTCACTTGCAACCCCTCTATTTTGTAAAATAATATTTTTCATTCCTTTACTTTTAAAAATATCACTTTCACCCCTACACCTTCAACTTTGTAAAATGTCAACTCTTCTTAATGCACAATGTACAAGTTGTCAATGTGTAAAGTGCAACTTTAATCCCTCAACTTTGTTAATCCGTCACTTGCAACCTCTCTATTTTATAAAATGATATCTTTCATCCCTTTACTTTTAAAATATCACTTTCACCCCCTCCACCTTCAACTTTGTAAGATGTCACTATTACCCCTTCTTTTTCTACACTTTCGTGCTTATCCGTAGTATATATACAATATGATTATTACTCCTCTACATTGAAAAATACATTTTCCACCCCTCTATTTTCTTTAAATGTTACTTTGACCCCCTGAAGTTTGAACTTTGTAAAATGTCACTGGTAATACACAACAAAAACACATAAAAACCGGCTGCAAAGCGGGGGCTCATTTATTAGTTCTATATAAATATCAACGTACTTTCATTTATTTGTTTATTGTAACATCCTAATTTTATTTATTTCTTATTAAGGCATTGTACTTTAAAAGATCTACCCAATTATAACATTGTAATTTTATCAGTCTTCTTATTAGGACATTATACTTTGAAAATATCTATCTAATTAAACCAATGCAAATAAGATTTTTCAAAGTACAATGCTTTAAAAAGAAAAAATGAAAGTAGATTGCTATAATAAAATAATCAATGAAAGTACCTTGCTATTTCTTGTATTGAATCTTATCAACATTTGAAGAATTGTGTGAATTTCAATATAAGGGGAGTAAATGGAAGAATTTTTACCGCTTCAATATTACGATTTTCATCATCAAAGAAAAGCATCTTATCAAATGGGATTTGAGTCTTTTGTTGGATTTTCTTGAAATGTTCTGTTTTGTGACTCCAACTGGAAAAGATCTCCTGAAACATCAAAAGGAATTGCTATAATTCAAAGGAATTGTAATAGGGTTACATAAGAGACCTAATCTAAACCCTAAAGGGCTTGGGCCTAAACCCTAATCACTAACAGAAATGACATAATTGCCCTTGATTAACATTTTGTTCATGAAACTTTTCTAAATACTCATAAAAGTAGTTAAGTCTACGATCATCCTTAACTCTTAACAGGCTGCGTATGAAGTACTGATAACCAGAATTCATAATCATTGGTTTAAATATGATCACCCAATAAAAGTCTTATCTTTTGCTATTATTTATTCAAATGCATTTTAAAAGGATCAAAGTATTCACAAACCTGCGCTACAAACATCGACTTTATGCCCAATTTGTCAATAAAAGTCTCTGCTATGTCTCTTGTTGGTGATCTGGAGGCAATAGCCATGCTAACTCCCTTGTCCTTTAGCGCATTTAAGATATCTTTACAATGGGGATACATATATGGCATCTCGCGTTTGGATCGACATTCACTAACATTCAAAAAAAAATATCAACTGTTTATATAATCTATATATAACATGAGTTACTGAAGAATTTGACAGAAATGATCACAAATATGTATAATCAGTAAACTAGTTGGCCTTAGGCATTAGTAATCATGAATCTTTCTTGTGTAATGAATGAATTCACACCATGGAGCAAAATCCAAGGTTTTATGAATGTCTATGAACAAATCATTCAAGTAAATGTACCTAAAACCTTATCATTCATGAAATGAACAGCCCAATTACATCCAACTGAATCACAGTTCGAAGAAATCCCTTCCATTGATATGAAATGAAAAAACCGATGTTAGGTTTACATGAAAACGTCTCTAGAAACAGGTAGGCAAAAATAAATTCCTACTACTTTCTAAATTATGTTCAATCTATAGGACATTTCTCCAATAAAATGACAAAAGCTAACAATTCGTTGACCTAAAGTGAGGATATTAAATCGGAGCATGAACAATTAACTGAGCTTTAGATAAACTATATGCAATTAAACACACTCACAAAAATAAAAACTCCTGTTTACTTGGATTATAGGTAAGTTGCATAGAATTAGATTTACTCATCAAACAGAAGGCAATACTCGAAAATTTACAGTCAAACAATGAAATAGAAAGTTGGCGTATTACGAAAGCAAGATTATAGATATTCATATACCAGTAGAAAGGCCAGAGAGTGTAATCGAGATCGAATACGACTAAACGAGGCAAGACTTGACATAATCCCAGGATCTCCATTGCTTCGTTCTTCAGCTTCTCGTCTTCCATGGTCGTCGCTCCTGTTTGCAATTGCAGATGACGACCGATAACGAGTAACGACCCCGAGTCATATCTATATATCACCTCTCATTTTACAAGAAACCCCCTCAATATTCATGAGAGTTATCTTTTCGGACCTAAAGTTGTTCAAATACCAAAGTTGGTCCCGATTAAGATTAACACCTTTTACAAAATACCTAGTAATATCATTGTAAATGTGATGTATTTATCGTCACCTTCTTCTTTGTTGTTGGTAATTTTAATGTTATAGCATATTTTAATGTAACTATTACTATTGTCGAGACAGATCAGTTTCAGTTTACCATCCGAAACTGGAGGTACATGCAGGTCGTCTCAGAGGGTGGGCGATAGTCCGAGGCTAGGGATGTGAACGGGAGCGGAAATAGTCGCCTCCCCGCCCCCGCCCTTAAAATCAGTTGTTGCCCCCACCCCTAGTCCCACCCCCGGATCCCTCGTTTACATAGCCCCGATCTCGCCCCACGTTACCTCCATCACCCTCGGTCCCGCCCCAATCCCCCCGGTTTATAGGTTTAAAATTCGATTATTTTTGCTAAAAAACAGCTTTTGTTGTAGGCTAAAAAACTATTTTTAATAACTTTAAAAGCTCAAAACCTATTTTTTTAGAAACTAAAAAATTAAAAATTTAACATTACGAATCCAACATTACAAAATGACAATTCTAACAACTTACAAATATAAAATACGACAAATCCAACATTACAAATATAGAGTACTTACATGTCCAAAAATATATCATTAATTCGCTACATCTTCAACATCCATTAATTGGAAAACGGAAAAATGAAACCTACACTAAACCTAAAATAAGAAAATTTATTTTGTATATGTATTTTATATTAAATACATATTTTTTTTTACATAAATGTACAACCGGGCCCCCCCACGGGAGTACAGGACGGAAATACCAACTCCCGACCTCGGTCCCGAAAATAAACGGGGTTTAATTCTACTCCCACCCCCGCTCCCAGTTTTTTTAAAAATTTAGTCCCGTACGGTATTGGAGTCCCATGGGGACTTTTGACATCCGGGACCCATCTTTTAAAAGGACCCAATTTTTTTTATGGAAATTATTATATTTAGAAGACAATACAGATATTTCTTTCAATTATTGAATTATTACAAAAAACTTGATGACATTTGTGCATTTTAAGGTCCAAAAATTTTCTTTTGTGCCCATGGCCCAAAATATGTTTGGAACGATCCTGGTACAAGATGCACATTTAGAGTGTTAAATGTGAACTCATACATACAATGATCTTGGAACAAAAAAATTATTTTGGACCAGTAATGCTAGTCCAAATCCTTTTGGACCAAAGTGACATTTTTTTAGCTAAATATAGAGACCATTTTTGCCAGTTTAGTCAAACAAATTATTTACATTCTGTTTTCTTACATTTCTGATTGAATTGACTCGTATAATTCATCATATCGAAAACCGAAGTTGGAAGTGAGAGACATAAGTAAGAGAATGAGTGTGGCTTTCGTGTTTACCATCATCATTTCAGATGTCGGCAACAACTTGTTCGCCCGCATCGTTTGCATCCTATTAATGCAACCCTCTCTTCCCTCTTCATTGCTATCTTCTTCTTTATATACATGTGTTATGTAATGGGGAGTTGGACCAGTGTACCTATTAATAGAAATGAGCATCACGGAAAAAGTATATTAAGGTGAAAATGATTGTCGTAGAGGATGGGCTTCGTCGGAGATTGTGGTTGAAAGGAAGGACCAACAACTTAGATGATAAAGGAGTTCCATGCTTAACATTGCCCTTTGGTGTTGTCTTTGAATATTTAGTGATATTCTAAAATTAAATGAAGGGTATAATTGTTAATTTCTTTAGAAGTCTGTGAATAATTAAAAAAAAAAAAAAAAAAAAAAAAAGCTGTGAAATACTATCAAAATGTTGTAATGTAATTTTGAAATAACCGTTTTTAATTTGTAAAAATAAAACGAAACAGTATATAAGCCTATAAGGGCTTACTTTTCCATTATTGTCAATTTCAGACAAAAACATATAAAATAGAGAGGAAAGGAGCGCAGCAACTGCAGATCGATCGGAGAGGAAAGGGAATCGGAAAGGCAGTCGTCGTGGCTTATCGTCGGAGCAGCAAGTCGTCGTGATAATCTGATCGACGTACTCACACGACAATCAAGGGATAGAAGCGCGATTGTAGGTGGGGAGGGTTTCATTTATTGACCTAATTTATCATCCGATTATGTTCAAACGAAAACATCATGGTTTTCTTTTTTCAAAATTCAACTATATTGAGTTCCGATTTCGTGTTCCTTTTTCAATTTCACGAAGGTTTCGTTTCAATTTGGTCGACTGAATCGCGTTCTTGATGTATCTGTAGTTTGGTAAAGAAGTAACTAGTGCCCAAATGGGGTCACTGAAAGAAAGTCTGGACAGGTTCAAGAAGCAACAAGAGAAATGTCAATCAACCCTAAAGAGCATTGCTGCAGGTTCTAAAACAACCACCAAGACAACAACACCTGCTCCTAGAGTTGTGCCTGCAAACACCTCGACTAAATTACCTTCTCCTCCAATTAAATTCTCTAATGACACAGAGAGGTTGCAGCATATTAATAATATAAGGAAGGGCCCTGTTGGAGCTCAGATCAAACGTGTGATTGATCTGCTGTTTGAGGTACAAACCTTACCTGTTCTTGTATTACTTAAGTTTGTTGTTATAGTTATCTTTCATGTATTTATCATGTATGGCAGTATACCATTATAGATCATTAGATTGGTTTAAGAACCATGTTGATGGAAATATTTTCTTGAGATTTGAGAAATATGTAGGCTACTTATGGTGTCCCAAACCAAAGAGAAAAATAGCTTTTGACTACATAGAAGAAAAGATGTTAAAGCTGTATAATACTTATATAATTCAAAGTATTTTTTCTTGGCGAATTCATAGTTAGGATTGCTTCCTGCTGCCTCATTTGCTTCTTACTGTTTTACTTAAGCCATTCAAGTGATTTCTATTGACCAGAAATTCATAGTATTTGTGTGATATTTACAATCTAAGTCAGATTCCGTAGCTTTAAATTAATTTCATTGTGTATATATATACAGTCAAGGCAATCATTCACAGCAGAGCAAATAAATGAAGCATGTTATGTTGATGTGAAAGGCAACAGAGCTGTGTTTGAGAGTTTAACAAAAAATCCAAAAGTTAGTTATGAAGGAAAACGCTTCTCTTACAAGGTAATAATCCTAATCTTTTTATGACATTATTTTTGTAATTCCAAAAAGTACTTTGATGCAATTTACTGAAATAAAGTTTTTAATTTTTTTTTTATCTACAGTCGAAGCATAATGTGAGAGACCAAAAAGAACTACTCCGTTTAATTCGGACATTTGCAGAAGGAATTGCTGTTGCTGATCTTAAGGATGCTTATCCAACTGTCATGGATGATTTACAGGTATTTCCTTTCCAACCTCCAAAATTACCTTTTTGGTCCCTGGGTATACCTGATTTTTGCAATTTTTGTCCTTATTTGAGGTTTTGATAACATTTTTGGTCCCTGTTCTAAGTATTATGACTATTTTTGGGACCAAAATTGCAAACTCAGGGACAGAAAACAGTCATTTTTCTTTGAACAAAAACAAAAAAATATAACAAGAATTTTAAATAAGGACCAAATTGCAAGAGATAACTTTTTGGGACTAAAACTGCAATAATAGCTATATTTAGGGACCAAGTATAAAATAAAGATAAAATTACATGTTTGGTCCCTGCATGTAGTTTATTTTTCCAATTTTGGTCCCAAAAACTGTTCTCTTGCAATTTTGTCTTTATTTGATGTTTTTGCAACATTTTTGATCCCTTTTCCATGTAAAAAGTTCATTTTTGGGACCAAATTTGTAAAAACCAGCCATACCTAGGGACCAAAAATAGAAACTTTACTTGGAACAAGGACAAAAACATTACAAGAACCTCATCTAAGGACCAAAATTGTAAAAAATGTAACTTTATAATAAAATAAAATATTTATAATTCCTAATGAACTCCGTGATGATTGACTTTTAGGCCTTGAAAGCTGCAAGACAGATATGGCTTCTATCAAACTTTGACTCACAAGAAGACATAGCCTACCCTAATGATCCACGTGTCCCAATCAAAGTTGATGATGAATTGAAACAGTTATTCAGGTCAATTGAACTGCCACGTGACATGCTGGACATTGAGCGGGACCTACAGAAGAACGGAATGAAGCCTGCAACCAACACTGCGAAAAGAAGAGTCATGGCACAAAATGGTAATATTTATAACAAACCAAAACAAAAGAAGAAGAAGACTGAGATTAGTAAACGTACAAAGCTCACAAACGCTCATCTTCCTGAGCTCTTTCGCAACCTTAATGGCTAGTTGGATTTGCTATTGTATATGTTAATGTTTCGATAAATGAGAATACGAGAATCGTTTATGGATTATGAATGTTTTTCAATATGTATCACGATTTGATGTTCAAGTGGATGATTTTATGTGGATGTATATGTATTAGTTTTTTATGCTTGAATGTATGCTGAGGATCCATAAGTGAGGTCTCAGGTTTAAGTCTTGGCGTTGTTGTTATCATCTATTTTTTTAATTCCATTATAGATTGGTTTATATGATTGTTTAGGGTTAGTTGATTGAATTTGCAACTGAAGGTTATGTAGTGTAGAGTTTGTTACAGACTTGTGTTTGTAAAATGTTTTAGGATTACGGGTATGGTTGGCAGGAAATGAAATGAAATTCATGAGCGGAACACTAACAAAGGATGTTCAAAGGAACCTCATATAAAGATAAAAATTCCAACTACCCCAGCCAAAATCCGGTGTTTCTAATTTAAGAACACAAACTAGAAATACTTTCCCTTTTGATATGCTGATTCCGGTTTATTGTCCCCGCATTGATGATCTATTTACTACCCTATAATTTCAAAATCAAAATGTTCAACAACACTATCTCGTGGTTATGTGAAATGTTACCCCCAACATGATCAATAATTTCATAACTTTTCCCGATCAATTTTACAAACCTAATCGCATCTTACGCCACAAACCCAAACCTAACCCTATCTTGCACCACACAGCTATTCCCTTATTGGTCGTGGCACGTGCCATGTCATTAAGTAATGATGCAACCTTATGTTGGCCGCGACACGAAGCCATCACAACCCGAAATCCTAGGTGTTAGGCCTTGATCCCTATTTAAGGAATGTGATGCTTAGGCTTTTCTTTAATCTCAAACTCCATTCCCTCAAATGCAAACCCTAGCCTTGTGTGTGTATTGGTGAGCCATTATGTGAGCTTTTGGATTTCTTATTGAAGAATGATGCTCTTGGTGCTTGGATGAGCTTTGTCCGGCTAAATTTTCCACATTCTAGACCCTCTATAAGCATTATAAGGCTATGTTTGGTGTACTAGCTGAAAAGCTAGCTGTTAGCTGAAAAGTTGGCTGATAGCTGAAAAGCTAGTTGTTAAATAAAAAGCTAGCTGATAGCTGAAAAGTTAACTGATAAAAAATGACGTTTGGTAAAACTATGTAACATCCCGATTTCCAGGAATGAAGTTCTAGGAATTTTATGCAGTTTAGAAAGCCTACTCGACGAGTTGGGAGGCCCCAACTTGTCGTGTAGAAACTAAGATGGCCGCGTGAATTATAAGACCTACTCGACGAGGTTGAAGGTCCCAACTCGACGAGTTGAAGGCTAAAGATGAAACCCTAATTTTTAGGGTTTTGTACCCTATTTAAAGGCCTTAACTCTCATGGTTGGTCTCCCTCATCGTCCCCTCAGTCCAGAGAAAACCCTAACCGTGCCACTTTCCCTATTTTGAGTGTGTGTGTGTGTGTGTGTGTGAGCTTAAAGAGTATTCTTTGGTGCTTTCTTAAAGGAGCTTGAAGTTGGTGGTGCAAAGTTGAAGGGAGAAGCTTTAGATCCTGGATTTTTAGTGTTGTTGTAGCCACTTGGAGGTATAAAGTCGATACCTTGACAATCATTTTGCTAGATCTCTTCATTTGAAAGTTTATGGCCCTTATTAGCTTATTTTGGGGTCAATATTGGATTTGAGCATGTCATGAAGCTAAGACTTCGAATCTGGACATTTCATGGCCTCCAGACTTAAAGTTGCCAACTTTATCAGGTCTTGGTCCTCCTTCATGTCCTAAGTCCCTTGATAAGCCTTATTTGAGTGTTTTAGCCCTCTTGATGCCATGCATGAACGTAAAGCTAGCAGCTTTACGTGGTATTTTAGTCCTAAGGGACCAGATCTATAGTTTGGGGCTTTGGTTTATGCTTAGAAGTGTCTTAATTCATTAAGGCTAGGAAAACTCGACGAGTTGCTCTGCCAACTCGACGAGTTGGATCTAGTTTTTTCGTCTTCTAGAGACTAAGCGAACTTGACGAGTTGACTGGGGTTTTTCCCGGTTTTCTGAACACTGAAGGAACTCAAAGAGTTGTGACAACCCGAACTATTTGGACCAGGCAAGGTCTAAATTTGCAACCCTATTACACTGAAAAATCTTGTAAACCATTAAGGCATAAGTGTATGTGTATGAAAGTATACACCTTGAGAACCACATATAAGGTAACCTCTTGAAAGTAAACAAGTTTATCAAGGCAAAACTAGATGAATGGATTGGATTAAGAATCACTTGATATAGATATAAGAACTCGTGTTATGTTGCAAACTTGAATGCTTGAACTTGAAGGCTATCACTTTTAGCTTTCTAAGCACAAGAAACATATTCCTATTTATAGAAATTATCCAATACATATATGCACTGAAGAATATCATCTAAGACCATAAATCCTTTTCATTAAGGCATGTGTGGCCGTGAACTACCCTAGAAACTAAAAAGTGGCCGTGAACACCATCCTAGGGAGCTTTTGGCCGTGAACCACCTTGGTGGACCTTCATTTGGCTGTAAACACTAAAGGGAAAACTCATTTGGGGCGTAAACACTACTTCCCTAGGAAGAACCTAAGGCGTAAACATTATAAGGACTCCAAAACTTTGACCATGAACACCATCCTAGGCAACCTTTAGGTCGTAAACCCCATAAGGGGCCACCATTTGGCTATAAACCCTTTGGTTGAACTCCCTTGGAGTGTAAACCATGGTCTAAATCCATTTAGACCATGAAACCCCTTGATTCCCAAGATATTTACAGTTGTCATGCATGCTTTACCCAATAGTAATCCAAGTAAACATCCCATCAAATTCTTATCCCCATACAAAGGGGCGTAAACCCCATTTCTCATTTCACAAACTCATTTCACTTTCTGTGAAACCTCCGTGAACACTCTCAAGAGTTCAAGCCAAGTCCAGAAGCTATTTCTTCACAAATCTTCCTAATATTTGGTAAGTAATTTATGATTAGTAAATGATTCATACATTTAGTTATTGTAAATCTTCTACTCACATATAAACTTATGTGTTCATAGCCTTATGCTAGCAAAAACCCTCAAGAGATTCATCCAACACTTCAAGTGTTTTAGGCTCCAATTTCTCACCTCATCTCTTCAACTATATTATCTTCTACCCAAGGTGGGCTTCATACCCTTATTTTTCGAGTTTTCATTGTTTTGGGGGAGGATACAAGTCAAAGTCTTGTTTAAATCTTAATATATTTGCTTGTTATGCATGTATGTTATGTTATAAGTACATAAGGTTATGGAACTCCATAAAAATAGTCCAAAAAATCAAGATTTTGGTTAAGTATCAAGAGTTTGGACTATATTCCACATCTTATTTATTAATTTGAAACAAAAACTAGTGTTTATTTGAACTATGAACTAATTCATAAAGCCTTATGTCAAGAACCACAAGGAAATTGCTACAAATTTTGCTTAAACAAAGCTGTTGGCATACAATTTTGGTAGATGTAAAATCATGAAAATTTATATTACTTTGGACCATTTTCGGCCATAAATATATATAGGGCCATTTTGAAATATAGGATGAATTTGAGCCATTAATGAATATTTCCATTAAAATGGGCCAAAAATGGATCTATTTGATAAATAAGGGTCATTTTGAACATTTTCTTAAAAACAACTCTAAAACAAGTATTTTAGAAGAACTGGGCCATTTTCAACAATTCTCGTATTTTTGGATCACTCATAATACTTTTAACAAATATGGGTTTTATTTGATAATTTATAAAAAGAAGGGTCACTTTTGCCAACATCGATAGTGTTGAGTCATTTTTGATATATATGATTCAAAGTAGATTATTTTCAATAAATGAAACGAAACGAAACGAATCACCTAGTCAGCGAGCACAACTAAGGTTATAAAATGAAACAACTCATCTAGTCAACGAGTACAACTATTGTTATTTATAAAATAAATAACGAATTTCAACTATTTGCATAAATATCTATTAGTATTCTAGTCAGACGCATCTTCACCTTACCTATATAATAGTGTACGTTTAAAGTCTTGTAAGAGTTATAACCAGAGTCTCCTAGAGGGAGAGCGAGAATTTGTGTATAGATCTATACAGGGTTGACACCCCATACCTTTGATGTTCGCTACAGCTAGACAGACCACTCTAGGGTGACAAATGCCTTCAACAAAATCAAAGCATGAAGAACGTTAAGACAGACATTCCGTCATATTAGTATGGTTATCACGACTCACTAGAATATAATAGTATCTTCTAGGAGGCCCTGTAGAAATTGTCCAAGGCCTTCTAGAAGGAGTGTCCATGGGTTGCTTAGAGGCAAAACAAGGAATTCGAGTTTCCACCTGAAAACCCTAGCAACCATAGCCGGATTTCTGCCACTCTCTCACTCATCCTTTGCTTTTGGTGTTTGTGACTCCATTAGAGGTGCAACACTTGTGGAACTAAGCTTTCAAGAGTCAAGATCATCCGTGGAATCCTTGTTATTAAGAGATAACAAGCAAGGTAACATTCTAACCCTAGTTTCATATTGAATTTAAAAAATTGTATGCTAGTATTAGGTAGGGGTGTAAGTGAGTCGAGCTACTTGTGAGCTACTCGGGATCGACTCGTTAAAAGCTCGACTCGAGATCGAATTAAACGAGCCTGAGCCGAGCTCGAGCCTAAACATGAGGCTCGTTTATTAAACGAGCTCAAGCCTAAACATGAGGCTTGTTTATTAAACGAGCTCAAGCCGAGCTTCAGTTAATGGGCTCACGAGCCTAAACGAACTTAAACGAGCCCATATATATATATATATATATATATATATATATATATATATATATATATATATATATATATATACGTACACACATACATACATACATACACACACACACACACATATATATATATATATACAGTCATTTCCACCATCCTGGTTGTCTCGACGAACTATTGGTGGTTTGGATGCTATGAAATCCTTGTACTTGCATCCACGCGTGTCATTTCCACCATCTTGGTTGTCTCAACGAATTATTGGTCGGTTGGCTTGACCAAGATTTCCACTGTAGTTACCTCCTTCTGACTGCCCGTCATTCAGTTCAGGCTGTTCGATCGGTATGGTAGCTTCCTCTCGATTTTATTGGAGTAAACGCATGGTTTCCTTCATTTGAGGATCCAACATCATTTGGATCATCGCTTGTACTCCAGCCATCATTATTGGCTTAAGAGCGGCCACCACAACCGATATTTGTTTAATCAC